GGGACGGCGCATAGTCCCGCTGTCATGTGGACACGTCCTGGCGCCTGCCAACCTCGCTAGTCTTGTAACTAGCACTCCCGAGGATGAGTTACTGCACCACATGAACACCACACCACTCAGTGTTTCATGACCACGTGAGGTCCTTCATGTCAACACCTATGGACGAGTTACTGCACCACGTGGCCTACGTGGCCTCACACAGTAAGGCAAGAGACCAGCCCCTGCCATCAACTGTAAACTATAATTTCTATGTTCAATTTATATTCCTTCTCCTTTTAGTAATGAAAACTTTTGTTTAACGACCCACCCACCCCATGTTTTTGTATGTAAAAAGTAATTTCTGTCCAGTGTATATTTTCAGCCTTCGGGCTGCTTAACCTTTTCAATAAACCGCTAATTATTATTACACACACACACACACCATCCTTGAACATTGAAGGGTCAAGACGTACCTGCCGCTCCCTTGGGAGCAGCCAGGTCAACTGTTACGTTGCCCCATAAACAACTCCCTCCCCTGAACCCTCCTCCCCACCGGAATATCAATAAGTTCTCGCCAGAAGTTACAATTTCATTTAGGAAAGGAGTGGAACCAGTGTTGAACAGAGGTGAACAGTGGTGAACAATGCTAGTCAGTGAGAACAACTCAACAGTGGGACCTCACTGTGTAAAGGTTACTTTACACAGTGAGGTCCCAGGTACCCAGTGATAACTGCCAGTGAGACCCAACAACAACCAGCGATGTGTTAATCCGTTTACGATAGGAAGGCCTGGGACCACACCTCACTCATATAACACCATCTGTGAGGGAATTACTACACTACGTGAGGTCCCTCATAACACCATCTGTGAGGGAATTACTACACCACGTGATGCCCCTCATGACACCATCTGTGACGGAGTTACTACACCACGTGAGGCCCTTCATAACACCATCTGTGAGGGAATTACTACACCACGTCACGTCCCTCATAACACCATCTGTGAGGGAATTCGTAAACCACGTGATGCCCCTCATAACACCATCTGTGACGGAGTTACTACACCACGCGAGGTCCCTCATAACACCATCTGGGAGGGAGTTACTATACTACGTGTTTGCTGTTCAACACCTACATTATTCTGTATGTTCACTGTATGTTCCACTACCTTTCTCTAATGGAGGCTTTTGTTAAGCCACCAACGTCAATGTATGTAATAAGTCATTTATGTCTAATGTATATTTTCAGCCTTCCGGCTGGTGATGTAGTTTGAGAGCTGACCCACAGATGGCGGTATAATGACAGTCTCGGTTCAGGCAGCCTCGGGAAGGTTACTGGACTGTTGTGGTCGACTACACATATTGTTACGCTGTCTCTAAATTTACTTTAATACCCAGGTTCTAGGCGTAACCAAACAGAAAAAAGTGAAGTAAATTAAAAGGGAATAACACAATAAATTGCCTCGTAGGCTGTCACAACAAATTGATTCACGATCGAAACTTTTAAGACACAAATGATACTAAACATCGAAGCATCAAAAGAATAAAAATAAAGCATTGGATTACGTTAACACTCCATAAACATATAAAAACTAACACTGAAATTAACTAACGTGAAACAACACTGAATTACTTAAATGTAACTAAGCAAGCACTGATGGACACATAAGAGACATAAATAGGTACTCACATAGATATACCACATTGGTGGCGACAGGAACGACACAGAAATAAAATGAAGTATAAGTAACAGGTGACGAGTGTCACTCAAAAGAACGTGAACTGAATGACGAGAGGACTGGACTAAAACTCCGTCTGCTGGTGGGTCCTATATATAAGGTGGGCTCCGGCCACGCCGGTGGGTCGTTTAACGATGCAGATGGTCGTTAGAGAAACAAAGAATGCTTGTTACAATACTAAAGAAAGAAATAAGGTGGGCTTGAACAAATAATGACAGTTAAAACCTTAACAGCACAGGGTAAGGTGACTAGAATATATAATAGTAAATTTAACACATCATTACAGGAATAATATGGAACAACATTGAAGCATGTTATAAAAAAATAATAGAAAAATACGACACGATCGTAACAATATGTAGAGATATATAAACTTTAATGATTATAATAAATTGGAATACAACATCGAAAACAAAGTAAAAACAGGGGAAATGAGACAGTAAATACCTGTCCCCAAAACACTAGCTCTGGTGTTAAAAGCCATTAAAGAAGTAGTCATTAATATCACGGTGTGGGTGGTGGTGGTGAGCCTCGCTAATGGAGGTAGTGGTAAGTGACGGTCAAGTGACAAACTGTAAGGGTCGAGGGTGCCAATAGACTACAGACACTATCAACACAGTTCCTATTATTTTTTAACTGGAGACGATAGATATTCCACATTAATCTTAAAGGAATAATTGGTTGAAGATGACAAGAGCTGGTCCTAGATAACACTAAGAAAAGTAAACACAAGTGGCGGTCAGGAGATACAGATTGTTCGGGACGGGAATAGATCTTTTTTTTTTTATTTGTGTTGAGAAATATATTGATGTTTTACCGTAAGAAATTGGCTGCTGTACTGTTTTATTGAAGCATTTTACTAACTTGGTAAACGGATCGTGTCTCCCTGATATTGGATGTTTGAGAGGAAGATATAAAATATATATTACAAACTTTATATAACAGGGAAAAGTAAAAATTAATATTATGTGCAACAGGTTAAGTCAAAATAACCCAACGATCTTTTACCGGCGCTAAAGAGGTGAATTTGCGATATCCGAACCTCAAAGTTGTTATATTTTTCAAGCTCCAACTTGTCCAGAACAAATAAAACGTGTGTTTGCCTACTAAATGACCTTTATCTCGGTGGGCAGGACCCTTGAAGCGCCTGGATCTCATTCCCGGAAATTGCTGTGGCTACGACAACATACCGGGGAGCAAGTTTTGTCCAGGGGAATTTTGGCTCCAAGTTATTATGTCGAGTTCCTCCCCGCCAGAACCTCTTGAGACTGAAGTAGGGTGAGTGGCTCTCCCTCTTTCCTGAGAGTGAGAGACACAAACACACATACAGAGATAGACGTACAAATATACAGAGAAAGTGACAGTCAGACAGATATTAGACAGAGATACTGATAGAAAGATATTTATTTATACGAGTATATAACAACTTTATGAAATAATTCTGTGCGTCACGGCACTACTGTTATGATATCAATAATTCCATTTCTCTCTAAAATAGTTACATGCATTTTGTGTGTGTGTGTGTGTAAAATTCTTGACCATAATGACACTTTTTGTTTCTGGGGACAACTAATGTATGATGAGTGAAATTATCTTCACTATTCCTTAAAAATGACTAAAAGGTAATAGAAATAAACGAGACTTTTGTCGTTTTTCTATTATTTTTCAGCCCCTGCACACAGGAGACTTCACCCCGGCACGATCTCTCCCCAAGGATTCACCAGTTTCCCCTGATCACTCACAAATGCCTCCGTTGCCGATGTGTGTGGGGACATGGATAAGACAACTCTCGTATACAAGGTCATACAGATTAAAAACACTACACAATACATTCAAAGTTTCACTGATACATTTTCGTTGATATTTATACTAACAAAACCACCTGACAGTCGTTTTATTTACACTGATTGCTCCTGGTCAGAGTGACAGGATATGCAAGGTGTTCGTTTTTGTCAATAAAGCCACAACAATTGTATTTGAACAAAAACGTTATTCAGAGGAACATGATACAAGGTGCACTTTTCGATATGAATTATACAAAGGAAGGGGAAAGTGACTTACCCATCAAAATTTTACTGAAGGTGTTGAAAAAGACCACCACTTTCCTCGCCGATCATGATGTAGCTTCACTAATAAAGAAAACATACACTACAGACAGAGTACCTAGAATATTGAAATCTTTAGAGATTAACATTGATCCATGAGAACCTTCACCTGAGAGAGAGATAAGAAACACAAAAGAGGAGTAAGAGTACTGCCTTGTGTCACCCAGCAGCGTTGCAGTAACAGGTGTGGGAAAATGAACACCTGTACGATAACGACTTTCTCAAATGATTCTCTCCGTGGATAAGATAGATTTGTATACATACCGAGACGAAGTAAGGTGGATGGTTATATCTCTGGTCTGAAGGTCTCACAGGTTCATTCTTTGTGAGACAGTGTAAAAGTCTCTTAATTAAAGGGTCTACTCAGGGGATGAAATGTGTCCCATTACTATTTATGAAGCTTTTGTATGTACAGGAGACACACAGGTAACGAAAATAATGTCCTCTGGAACCTGTTGTCGTTCAGTACTCCACTTTTTTAGTGTGCATGGTTTTTCTTCATTCTCAAAATAGATCAAGAATATTTACATTTAATTTTCAATGTCAATTTTCTGTACTTTACTTCGCTAATGAGTTTTCTGGTTCACTCCCTGATAAATTAGCTGTTGACTGGGAAATTTGTATTTGCAGGAAAATATCGCCAAGCGCTATCCTTATGGCTAGAAAATGTCGCCCGAAGAACGCTAATGGACTGAAAATTCCGCTTTACACTTGCCATGTCAACAAAAATATTGACATAAAAGTGTACCCAGAATACTGTGAGAAGCGTGTGTGTTTGTGTGTGTGTGTGTGTGTGTGTGTGTGTGTAAATAAATTAATACACATGTGAATATAGTGATAGATACATATGCAGAAATTCTGCTCACACCACCACTGACTGAGGACGAATTGGATTTCTTGGAAGTTAAACAAAACTTTGTATCCCATCTCTGAAAGTTTGTCTATGTCCTTCTTACTGACAGTACCTATTCTAGGATATCTCTCTCTCTCTCTCTCTCTCTCTCTCTCTCTCTAAGAATATGTATAAGCTTAATCTTTTCTCTCTATCTCCGCGTTTATCTACACCTCCCTATCTCAATCTCATTCTCTATGCTTCCAGGGAGAGACAGAAAAAGAGAGAGAAAAAAATAAAGAGCAATCGTAAAAATGTTGAAGAGGACATCGAGTAAAACAAACAAACAAAACATTTTTCTTTGTTTTTTATTTGTTTATGACTAACTTAAGTGGACAACTGGGACTACTGTGTGTGTGTGTGTGTGTGTGTGTGTGTGTGTGTGTGTGTGTGTGTGTGTGTATCCTCACATCGAGTTCTGAAACAGCTAGTATAGATATCATTTTCCTTGTATGTGTGTTTGTTTGAATTCAGTTCATTTTATACCGACTAGCAGATCTATAACCCTTATTTTCTATACTATCGTCGATTTCTCTCACTTTAAAGGGGTCACTATTTTATCCCCTTGTCGCATGTGGTTTATAGTGTCAGCTACCTGGACGACCGCCTTCTAGTTGTTCTCGACCATGGCAGAGAGAGCACCAGCGAACGCGGCGTTATAGTCACACGCCACCTCATTGTGCTGGAAGTCTGAACGTACGTCGGTGTAGGATCCGTCCTGAGGGAGGAAGAGATAAAAGGTTCAAAGAGAGAAAGAGGCACAAGGAGAGAAAGGCGTATAGTGAGAGACTACAAGAGATAGGTACAATTACCACCAGTGATTTTTATTTCAATAGGAGTTTGAGAGGTAGAATAGTGTCATTTCTTATACGATGAAGAACACTTGTATTTCATCAGCAAGTCAACAGATGGGAACTCCTGACATATTGCATACTAAAGTATCTAACTTAGGAGCCAAAAAAATACGAAGACTTCTTATATCAGATAAACCAAAAGTTAATTAAGGAATCAAGAGACAGGGAGACACGTATCTGACATACCTGTATGTTGTCCGCGACAACAGGTTGTTCATTAACCACACAGGTAAAACTAACCTTTGCAGGACCGCCAACGAGGGCGCCGTAGAGGGTATGAGGGTTGGGCCCTGGCTGGGTGTATCCCCACCTGTCCTTGAGACACGAGTCTGGGGGGATCGGACACGAGCTGAAGAGGAGAGGAAAACCAACTTAGGGGCACCAAGATAATAGTAGAATCAATAGGTTATACTGAAAGGTTTCTTACCTTGGGAAATAAGTTCACTATACAGACTATATTTAAAGGTTTAAAGAGAAAAAGCTCTGGCCCCCAGGTAAAGCCTTACCGATAGTTTAATTTTCAGCATAGAGAACACCAGTATTTAGTGCAAGGTGTCCGCCTGACGTTGTTATCAAGATCAGACAGGCAAGAAAATTATCGGGCAGTGCAGAGCTACTTGAGAATTACTGTATTAAGTGACTGGTAATGGAAACAAGTAGAGTGTGTACCTGGAGCGGTGGTGGGGGTGTGAGGGAGGGTCTACACCAAACCCTATCACGAAGGAGTGACCGATATCACCCAACATGTAGTTGATCTGGCCCTCAGCCCACTGTCTGTTGGTGTCCGCGTCGGCTGGGTCTCCGTACTTGGCCGCCTGGATAATACACAGAGATCTGTCAATTCTCTTACAAATATGCCATTTATAGTTGTTAAGATAATTTAAACTGTAAACTATTCGAAAATGAATTTGGGGTAATATGGTGTTTTACCTAAACCAACACCTAAAAATATGCAAAAATAGCTAAACCAATACTCAAAAATATGAAATTCTTGTGTGATCGTGGCAGGTCTCACGACGCAATAATTAATTACTGTGATGGTAAACTGACCCAGAGAGCGATGAAGGCGACATTGGCGGCGTGACGGTTGGAACCCCACTCGTTGAGGTACACAAGACCTCCTGGGGTGTACGGGGCGTCTTCCTGCAAATATTTCAGGAAGGCCTTCAGGCTGTCCTCGTACTTGGTATTGTCTGGGTCCAGCATCATGCCCAGTGCCTGCAGATAATCAGAGTTCTCGTGAGACGTTCAACCTGGAACTTTGTCACACATGATCAATAGTTGCAGGTTATCATAGTGTACCAGGACTAAGGTTTAGGGGCTATAACAGATATCACAACCCTATGCATCTCACTCAAACCAACTCCCCCAAAAAGACTGAGTTGGACAAAATTTCTATTACTATTGTCAGCTATAATTAGGGTAGACTTCATGAGATTCTCTTTATGTGTTCCCAAACTCTCGGTTATGGCTGAAGACTAAAATCCTGGGCGAAATGGACTAACAGAAACATCTAGGTAAATCTACCTTATTTACAAATAAAAGGTACAAGACAATGTAAATGCACTTCCAACCTACATAAGCACCAAAGACTCTCACCTAACATTTCCTGGGAAAGGATTCACAAACCTTAGTTACATGGTGGCTCAGAGAAGGAGAGGAAAGGGCACATATCTACCCTTAGCAAAGCCAAGGACAAGACAAGGGAGGAGGAGAGGCAGGGACAACTGGCCTCAAATTAGCCTGGTGTAAAACAGAGACCCTGGGTCAACAGAGGTGGCAGAGCCAGCCTGCTCAGTAACCTTCTCTCACCTGTGCATGCGCAGATGAATATGAGATAAAATAAATATTATAACAATGACACAAGCTTACAACAATTGGCCACCTGGCAACTCAAACGGCCGCCCCTACATCCTGTGGATGGGTCATGACCACACCCTTGTGGTCCAGTCCATGCGATATGATGAAATACTGACCGCGCCCTGACTGGGGCGCCACAAGGTCTGAAGGATGGCGTAATAATCATAGAAAAAATCCTCACAGTATGAATAGGGAGAAAGCATGGCGCAGAGACATTATAATTATAAAGTACGTTCCTGTGACACAGACTACAAGACCAACGGATGAAAGTAAATCACAAGAACAAAGATATATAACGTTGTCAAGACTCGTGACTCAAACTAGAGACAAGGGCTGCTTGTATCGCCAACTGAACCGGCTCTTGTGTTCAGGCTGCTTGGTGTCGACTAAAGTACCTCTTGTATTACTCTCAACGTCTCATCTCAGTCATATATATGGAAGACTTTCAAGATGGCTTCTCAACCTCATTGTTCGCATAAGGGAAATTGGCTACAACACTACATGCATCACTCTGCAAATGAATCTGCATTATTAGTCGTAGGCCTCAAAATGTTAACCATATGTACTTACATAGGAGCCGACCTTCTTGTCGTCCCAAGAAAACTCCATCGGGTCCTCGCCCAGGTTAAACTCATCCCAGGCCTCCTGAGCTTTGGTGAGGTAGGTGTCGTCTCCTGTGGCGCGGTACAGCCACAGTGCGCCCCACAGCAGCTCGTCTCCGTACCCGCTCCACGACCTGTAGGTGATACACCACCAGGTTATTATGTGTCACTGACCTGAGGTACACCACCAGGTTATTGTGTGTCACTGATGAAAGAAAAACAAACTATTCACAGTGTAACATAGTGGTACACCTTACCTGTAAAAGTTTGTGGCGTCAGTGATGGACTTGTGGTACTCCATACGGTACTCATCGCCGAAGGCATAGAGCTCCTTGGCCACCTCCAACATCTCAGCCGAGTAGTCGGGGTCATCCTCCTGTAAGGTGGTGACATATATGTTATGGGTTCCCACAAAGTGTTATATCCTTACAGATATAAAGTACGGAGTTCCACTTCCCTCGGTGTTTCAGAAAGTATATTGTCCACTAAGACAGTGTACTGTAGACTGTAGAGTAAGAACAGTAAGAACGTGTGAAGATTTACTAACATTACAGACAAAGCAGAAACTTTGTGGCGGAGATTAATGCAACTATGCTCGTCTCTACTGTACTTTGTCTCATCTGTTACATAGATTTATGCTGTTCAGTAGTCTCAAGAGAATAATTAAAAGATGAAAACTCACGGCAGTAGTACTGACAACATGTACGATTCTGGTGCATAATTTTGTCAACGAAAAACCAAAGCTCTCAAGTGTATCAAAACATATTGTCAGTAACATTGAAAGCTGAGATAAGAAATTTTGTTCCTGAACATCCCTAAATAATATTTCAATATAAACTGGTGAAATGTTATAGCTTGGGTAGTCTGTAAAGTCCGAGACAAGAAACAATGCCATGAATAATTCGATATCATATGAGGCAGGAGGTAGTGTGGGATCAATCAGTCGTCGCAGTACCTTGAAGATGATAGATGCAGCAACGAGGGCGGCGGCGGTCTCACAAGCCAACTCAGTTCCTGCAGAATACAACTGGTCAGTGTTGCACGACGGGGATTCGAACCAAAGAAGCCTTTGATTAAAATTATATACGTGTAAATATTATTATTTGAACCTTAGACCTGGTGTTCTTAAAAGACTTATCCTTGTTGTGACGTCTCTAAAAGATTATCTGTAATCTTTCAAAATCAAGAACACCTGAATTTGTCCATAATTTTCAAGTGTTTTACAAAAGTTTGCAATTATGGTTTAAGGCAAACACACTGTCTTACACCCTAAAAGAAACTGTAATCAAAATTCTTGATGTAAAAAACACACAGAAACGCGTAAAACAATCCCTGTCACACCCGGGAACACTGTCAAGTATCTGTCTTTATAGATAATTCAGGTTCTTTTGCTTTTGAACTAAAATATAGTTAAATATTTTGTAGGGCCATAAACACTATAAAGTTGTGGACCTGTAATGCCAAGGTGTACTGACAGGTATCAAAGTAACACTTTAGATACATCATAAACACTTTGACTTCAGGAACACTTAAAATTTGCTAACTGCTTTAATATTTAATATACATCTTTTTTCCTAGATGTTTGTTGGAAGAAAAAAAAGACTCTTGCACGGTGCTTAATATAAATGAATGTTTAAACCACCTAAGTCTAAACCCACAACAACAACAACCTAAATTACAGTGATCAAACATGCTACAATATACAACTAAAAAGTCATCACAATCAACAGCCCTCACTGTACTGACCTGGGGCGTCTTTATCAATCTTGTAGGAAGGTCGAGGCATGTGCATGTCCTCAGGGCGGCCCCAAAAGTCGTGGTCAGCTTCTCCGTTGCCAGCCTGATGATCAACATGAATATCGCTAATTAAACTGGAATCATTGAGAATTTAAGGCCCAATAAACTAACTAGATAATTATACTGGGCTTAAACAATATGTTGAAGAAGAACACACATTATTTGAACTCACCTCACTGACATGTAACATTTGGGCAGTGATCATCGCACACGTACATGATATTGACGCTTTATCTTATCATTTGACGTTAATAACTTCAGCCAAACATAGAACAAACCTCAGCTCCTTGCTCTTATAAAGATGTAAGTAGTAAATCATTTTCATATCATTTTTTTAACCTCATAAATATTTCTAGATGAAAACTTAGAGAGGCCTTTCAGTAACGACACCGAAATACGATAGTTAACTCGTTATTGCTGAGGCTCGTAACATCAGCCCCTAGAGCTGTTGAGACAGTGTGAACCCAGACAAGGTAAACACCAGTGAGAGGACGGTAGACTCACCTGGCCGTACAGTTCGTACTCAGCGGTGTGGGCCTTGAGGAAGTAGTCAGTGGCCCACTTGACGGCCGCACGACCGTAGTCCGTCTGACCTGTGTGACCACCAACCTCAGTAAGATCAATTTATTGTCATGGTATCTAAATCCAACTTGTTACCTTCATTTACTCATGACTTGTATCTTACTGCAAAGTCTGAGAGTCAGATACAATAATGAGTTTTACTCACCAGCTGCCTCGTATCCTTCAGCAAAGTCTATGAGTCCCCAGGCCAGGACGGTGGCTGTGTAGGCCATCGGGAAGCCGAACTTGACGTGGTCACCAGCTGTTGGGGAGATATGATCCTGAGTCAGGCTGGAAGGTCAAGTGTTGGTACACCTGCTGGATGTATTTAGGTATATTGTTTATCACTTGATGACGGCCTCTCTCTCTCTCTCTCTCTCTCTCTCTCTCTCTCTCTCTGTCTCTCTCTCTCTCTCTCTCTCACCGTCGTAGTAGCCGCCAGTAAGGTCGTGACCCACATCAGCACCGTCGTCCATGGCAGAGTCCCACCTCCAGGGTTGGACGCGCTGGTCCTCTGGTAATTTCCCGGACCTCTGAGCCTCGTAGAACAAGATAGCCATACACAGTGCCTGTAGGTGAGGGGAAAACTAGTGTAAGGCAATCATAGACACGTCAGATGAAGGAAGGCTTAGATAGGACATGTTTTGACGAATGGTAGGGGTAATTAAACTGTAGAGATACTGACCTGAGCGTAGTCGTATTTCTCCATGCCTGTGGCCTCACAAGGGTTGGTGTAGGGAGCGACGGTTGTCCACTGTAGCTGTCCATCTGTAGGTGACGAGGTTGACAGATGAGAGGATGTAGGTAGAAGCCACAGGTGTATATGGGTAAAGGTTACTTAGACAGTTTTCAATAAACGTACAATATCATAAGGGTGTAGACATCTTTTGTTGGAAATGAAAGGTGGAAAGTACTTGGTTGCACACTAAGGAAAAATTAATGTTTTATGTGGTTCAAATATAATAATATTGAAATTAATTATTTGTTTATTTATTTGGAGGACAGTTAGAGAGATGAGTAGAACTCCAGCATGGTACTGAGTAACTGTTTGAGTGATTGTATTCATGTTTAAACTATGCATAACTTTGATGACGACGATAAATTATGTCATGAAGTTCATAATTTATACACTTGTTTGGCAAAAGATATTACCTATCGTACAATAAATCTTTAACAAAGAAGTTACTTTATCATGAAGTGTTCATAAAGCACATATTGATCACGTGAGTCATGTTTTGGAAAAAAAAATTTTTGTTTAATCAATTTCAAAGATTGTTCAGCTGTCAATTATGATTGAGAAGCAAGAAGGCGGGGAGGTAAACAACAGACATAGAAGCCTCACTCACCGCAGGATTCTTGGCCGTTCAACTCAACAGAGATAATATCAGGCCTCGTGCTTCCCTTGTACATCACCTGGAAATGGAACACCACGTAGCTGCCCGTCTCGAAGAACTTAGTGTTGGTGATTTCGTAGTGTGTATCGTCTATCCTCGTTATGGCGCCGTCCCAGAACTGTGCAAGAGAGAGCGAGAGAGAGAGAGTGACCCGCCTATACTATACCTTGATATTCACATGTAACATATACAAACGGTACTTCTCAGCACTTGTTATAGGAATAACACCTTCATTTTAACCTTTGTTACTTAAGAAATCTATAAACATTAGGATTCATAAGTTGGGACAACATGAAGACTCACCGCCATGCTGTCCACGGGGCTGTCGAAGGTTAGGATCACGTCCAGACCTTCTATGGGCACCAGAGTCTCTGAGGTGAAGTTCCCGTCGTAGGTGTTTTGCGACTCTTTGATAATGGTGACGACTTCACACATCTCAGCCTCCACTACTGTAACACAAACAAGACGACCTGAGTCAGTACCTGTGTGTAGGAGGGTGAGGCTGACGACCTGAGTCAGTACCTGTGTGTAGGAGGGTGAGGCTGATGACCTGAGTCAGTACCTGTTGGAAGGAGGGTGAGGCTGACGACCTGAGTCAGTACCTGTGTGTAGGAGGGTGAGGCTGACGACCTGAGTCAGTACCTGTGTGTAGGAGGGTGAGGCTGATGACCTGAGTCAGTACCTGTGTGTAGGAGGGTGAGGCTGACGACCTGAGTCAGTACCTGTGTGTAGGAGGGTGAGGCTGACGACCTGAGTCAGTACCTGTGTGTAGGAGGGTGAGGTTGATGACCTGAGTCAGTACCTGTGTGTAGGAGGGTGAGGCTGACGACCCCTAGCAGGACGTGGACGAGGACACTGGTCATGTCTGCGGTCTGAGACACACTGGTGACGAGAGGCGACGTCTCCTCCACTTATATACCCGCCATGGCACCCGTCATGTTACCATCCATTACCTCATTGGGTGATAACATAAATGTTCTTCTTTTTTACGTCTAATTTGCGTCACAGCTGATAACCTTCAGCTGCTCTACCGCTTCTCTTTTGCTAGCCATTTCCATTGGTGAATTATTAAACAGCTTTACCTGAAATATAAAGTCAACTTGCATGCATTTATGTGCACAGTTTTTGTCGGTAGTAAGGGAATACTATGCTGCACTGACAATACTGTTTTCTCTATGTGCATATTCATGTAAGAGACTATATTTTTATGCCATAACTTAGCAACTTGAATTAAGTTAAAGTTGAATATAATTATGAGGACACATATGACACAACAAAAAACAAATTGGCAACTCAGCACAACTTACTCCTTAATATTTATCACTTCAAATTTAATATCACTTCATCACACAACACAATGTTTAATGAGAAAGTTACAAACACAAATAAGGACGAAACTGTTCATCATGGGTTCCATAACAACCTCTTACTTTATCACAACAGTTCAGGAGTGAAGGTTTGGAATTAAACACGTTACGATAAGTTAAATAAAATTTAATAATAAAAGTTTACCATAATACGTGTGCAGGTTACATCATGACCAGATAAATTAATTCACGAGAATATGGAATAAACATAATCCTTAATAAACCACTAATATATGCACAGTAAATAAACAATAAACTACTTTGTAATATCCCCATTGATCGCACTTTACATCCAATAAGTAATAATGGAGCAGCACTGAATATTTAATACTCAACTAAACCAGATTTGAAAAGGTATCCACCACTGACAAACTCGAACGTCCTTCCACCTCCAAGGCCAACCATTGACTGACATAGCTCCTTACTCCAAGGTACTACAAGCCTAACACTAATATTAAAAAAAATCCCACATTAAGCTGCAAAAATACCTACATATATACAGAAAAAATTGAATGTATCAAGTACCAGCCCTGGTCACACATAATTAAACACAATATTTTATTTACGTAAGGTACAAGTGAGGTAGGGTACACGGAGCCACGGCAGATAATACACTTCACACAGACTACCACCAGAGGACCTCACCTGCTTGGTTGTCTGTCATCTTACTGGAAATGATCACAACCAACGTCACCACAATCACTATACATCTCACAATGGGTGACAGCACACTACCAACTAGCTCACAGTAAACTACATCATCATCACAAGGCGCAGGTTAATATCTACACACATACAGCAACAAATATTATCATTATAGCTGATGGTACACCTCATATCAACCACCACTAACCACCCTACCACCTGGAGAGTTTGTAAATATTTCCACCTCCTACAGTGTTTATATTATTCACTCAAGAGGTTTTTACAGGGTGGCGCAGAGAAGATCAAACCGTGCAATAGTTCTATGTAAAAGGACTTATGAACCGCTCTGTATAATAGGCAGTCTATAGGAGTCGTCAAGTGGGTACATCAGAGACTATTGCATCACATGGAGAGATATAAGTCTCTCTCTCTCTTTCTCTCTCTCTCCTTGCCTTTCATCCATCTATCACTCCATCTATTTTTTTTCTCCCTATCATTATCTCTGCTTATGCATACCTATCTCTACCTCTTTTTCTGTGCTTCCAAGAGAGAGAAAGAGAAAGTGAGGAGAGAGAGAGAGAGAGAGAGAGAGAGAGAGAGAGAGAGAGAGAGAGATTGAATTAAAGTGGCCAGTAGGGAATTCCTCCTGTTTTTTACTTGTTTACATTTCTTGTATGTTTGTTTACAAGTTTTACAGCATCAACATGGCTCTTTGTTTTTATCACCAGCAGTCTGCGTCGACCGAACCGAATTTTGTGAGTGTATGTATATGTGTATGTGTATGTACGTGTGTGTATTTATATTTGTGATTGTTCGTGTGTTTATGCATATCTGAGTGTGTATGTTTATTTACTGTATAAATGGTACTAAAGCCACCAAAAGCTACCAACAAGCATTTACCTCTGTGTGTGTATGTGTGTGTGTGTGTGTGTGTGTGTGTGTAATAATAATAATAATAATTAATAATAATAATTAACGGTTTATTGAAAGAGCTTGGCAGCCAGAAGGCTGAAAATATACAGTTACATATTTGGGGAATGGGTTACGAATTACAAATAATATACAAGTAACATAAGTGACACAAATAAGACATATAATAACTAGATGGGGAAAAGCTCAAACTACAGTTCATTTCAACAAAGTGACAGTGCAAGAGTAGTGTTTACTGGGAGTGAATATACTGATTTATTACAAGTTATTGATAATTTTTACAATGGTTGGGACTGGGCTGTTCTTATAGCGATCAGTTCGTGCACGTATGGGCTGGATGCGGTTGTGGTGTCGAACAGCAATTCTCGGACTAGGATCTCAGGTGGTAGTAGGAGCCGGTGTCGGGGATGGTGTAGAAGCTTCTTACCAAATTTGCAGATGAGGTCGTGGTGATGGTCAGTGAGAGTCGAAAGGGTCAGTGTATTGAGCGCTTCTTGATATGTGGAGTAGGAAGGGGAGAGAATAATCTTGCATGCCCTCTTTTGCACTTTTTCTAGGTGTTTACGTTGTGTGGCATTTAGGGAGGAAGACCAGGTGGGGGAGGCATAGGTGAGCTTGGGAAGTATGAATGTTGTGTAAACACTGAGGAGCTCGTGTGCAGGAACTCCGAGGGACTTGAGTCGGCGTAGGAGGTGGAGACGGAAACTGGAGGATTTGATAACTTCACTGACGTGTGGTTTCCAATTAAGTTTGTTGTCTATGGTGACGCCGAGGAGCTTCGTGTGTGTGTGTGTGTGTGTGTGTGTGTGTGTGTCTTAACCTTCACCCATCTGTATTTCACCATTGACTAAATTTTACACAATTATCATTTTTTTTTCTATTTCGTATTCAATTTCGTCTTTTCCTCGTATAAGCTGCCCGGGTGACCTTCTACTTGTACTCCACTGCGGCCGCCAGAGCTCCTACGAAAGCAGCATTGTAGTCGCAGGCCACCTCGTTGTGAATATAGTCTCCACGGATATCGGTATAAGTATCGTCCTGAGTGAGTGAGAGTTAGGTTAGGTTAGGTTAGGTATGAGAGAGGGGAGGATGGAGGAGGCCTAATGGGAGGGAGTGAAAGATTAAGTAAAAGAGAAAGTATTATACAAAGTGAAAGAAAGGGATATAATAAAATAGAGAGACGCAAGTTAATAGTAAGATAGTAACCACATGATGGAGAGAGAGAGAGACTCAATAAGATAGAGAGGCTGAGTGAGAGAAAGAGGGAGGTAAAGGTGAGATAGATACCAGACCAGACGCACCTGTATATGATTCCCTGTACCAGATAAGTCATGTAGGTAAGACTCACCTCTGCAGGACCACCGACGAGAGCACCGTATAAGGTGTGGAAGTTTGGTCCTGGATGGGCGTATCCCCAGTTGTCCTTAATACAAGACTCTGGTGGGATCGGACAAGAGCTGGAAAAGAAGAGATAAATTAAGCTCAACAATATACCAGTGTTATCAGTATGGTTTCTTAAAATCTCTTTACCATGAGGAGAATTTTTTTTTTATTCTCTGTAAAAGACCTTCATCATAAGACTTCATTTGTAGATTTAAAGAGATAAAGCTCTAGCCTCCGGGGAAAGATTTATTGATATTTGTTTAACCACGGACTGTAGCAGTGTATGTTCCAACAATGCAGGCCGTTCACGAAGAGGGCAAGGTGTCATAATACCTCGACGACTCCTACAAGAACGATAGGAACTTTGTAACAGCCGCTGCCTTATGTGGGTGATGGTAATAGAGAGGTAGAGTGTACATCATGTGGGTGATGGTAATAGAGAGGTAGAGTGTACATCATGTGGGTGATGGTAATAGAGAGGTAGAGTGTACATCATGTGGGTGATGGTAATAGAGAGGTAGAGTGTACATCATGTGGGTGATGGTAATAGAGAGGTAGAGTGTACATCATGTGGGTGATGGTAAATGAGTGTACCTGGAGCGGTGGTGGGGGCGTGAGGGAGGGTCTACACCAAAACCCAAGACGAAGGAGTGACTGAAGCTGCCCAACATGTAATTAATCTGGCCCTCAGCCCACTCCCTGTTGGCGTCTGCCTCTGCTGGTTCCCCGTACTTGGCCGCCTGGAAACCAATCACAACAAAAATCTGTCAACTTTCTCAGTAAGAAATAATTAACAAATATTTTTGATTTTGAGTTGTAAAATTATTTCTTACATATATTTTTTTAAAGGTGAATTTGGTCGTACTTTACTTTTAAAACGGCATTTCATCAACAAACTAGGAGTAATATTGTTACCGCCATATTAGTGTTTACAAACTGACCCAGTAAGTGAGGAAGGCGACGTTGGCAGCGCTACGAAGGGACCCCCAGTCACCCAGGAACAGTAGGCCCCCCGGTGTGTACTGGGCGTCCTTCTTGTTATACTTCAGGAAGGAATTAAAGGCTGTCTCATACATAGTGTTCTGTGAGTCCAGCATCATGCCCAGCGCCTGCAGGAGAACATAGTTTACACATGTACACATTAACTAGGACTTAACATAACGTTTCAGCGCAAATGGCCTGAATGTTCAGTTTCTTGACACAAATTGTTCTCTATCAAATAAGAAAAATAGTCTGGTTGGCTGTGAGGTCATAATTGTGAGGATAAATTAAGGTCCTGTGTTATTATTCAATGTAAGGAATTACCTTTCATGACAGCATCTTATATGTGTCAACAATCCTTCTCATTACTGTAAAAAATAACTTACATAGCAGCCAGCCTTCTTATCGTCCCATCCATAGCTGCCACCGTAAGCCAGGTTAAACTCATCCCAGGCCTCCTGAGCCTTGGTGAGGTAGGTGTCGTCTCCTGTGGCGCGGTACAGCCACAGTGCGCCCCACAGCAGCTCGTCTCCGTACCCGCTCCACGACCTGTAGGTGATACACCACCAGGTTATTATGTGACACTGACCTGAGGTACACCACCAGGTTATTATGTGTCACTGACCTGAGGTACACCACCAGGTTATGTGTCACTGACCTGAGTTACGCCACCAGGATATTATGTGTCACTAACCTGAGGTGTACCACCAGGTTATGTGTCACTATCCAAAAATTTAAAAAAATTTAGGAAAAGAGAAAATGTCCTACCAAAAGATAAGAAGTAGACAATATAAGAAAGTAAGGCACATTACTTATAATAATGTTCAGCGTCAGTGATGGACTTGTGGTACTCCAGACGGTGCTCGTCGCCGAAGGCATAGAGCTCCTTGGCCACCTCCAACATCTCAGCCGAGTAGTCGGGGTTAGCCTTCTGTAATGTGTTTATAAAACTATATTATCTGTTTTCGCAGTATCATTTTCTCCAGACACAACGTATTGAGAGTTCCACTTATTATATTGGTTCAAAAAGTATATCGTTTGCTTTAGCAAAGTTATGTTTTTCTTTAGCATAGGTTGTTCCAGTTGAGCAGTCAAACAAATAAGGTATACAAATACTAAGTGAATAATAATTATGATAAAATGTTATGTCAACCAACACCAAGGTTGTCAACGAAAGATGACAGTAGAAATCCAACAAAAGAAACTGGGAAATGGAGTAATGAAAAAGTAGGAGAGGGTAGAGTGTGGTGGGTCAGTCAGTGGTCACAGTACCTTGAAGACGAGGGAGGCAGCAGCGAGGGCGGCGGCGGTCTCACACGCCAACTCAGTTCCTGCAGGAGAACGCAACTGGTCAGTGTAGCACGACGAGGATTATGACTAAATAACCTCTGTTTATTAGCAACTACCTATATATAGTATTACCAGAGCCATAGACTACCTCATATACCTTAAACTCGCAGTTTAAACTTCAAAAGAGATTGTCTGAGTCTTTAACGGTTTGTATATCATCCCTCAGAAAGAGACGTATCCTTCTGTTGCTTCCATTTAGTCTTTTATTAACACCAATAGAATGAAGAGAAACATCAAAAGTTTTAAAAAGTCTACAATTAAGATTTTCCAAGCTAGAGACAGTCCAAGAACGTAAAACAATTCCTGTCTTGTACAGTCACACTCGGGAACACTGTCATGTATCTGTCTTTATAAATAATTCAGGTGCTTTTGCTTTTGAACTAAAATATAGTTTAATATTTTGTAAGATCATAAGCACAATATAAAGTAGCGAACCTGTAATGTCAAGGTGAACAGACAGGAATATGTGAGTGTATTTCCGACTCCAAGCACGTTATATATTGTACAAATTCTGGTGGCCCTGAAGACATTATGAAGATAGTTGACGTTTGTTACCCAGCACATTTGTCTTTGGGTTAACACGAAGGAATATATCATAAATTCAGCGTAACCATAAAGTTTTTACCCCTCAAGTACAGTGATCAGAGACGACACAGTGTACAGCACATACCGCGTCACTCAACAACACAGCTCTCGAGTGTACTGACCTGGAGCCTCCCTGTCAATCTTCCAGGAGGGTCGAGGCATGTGCATGTCCTCAGGGCGGCCCCAGAAGGCATGATCAAGGTCTCCCTGACCGACCTGATGAGTAGTGTCAGTTAAACAAGGAATCATTAACAGTCTGCCACGAAATTCCTCGCAGGTATAAATATATTAATGGCACTATACACAGTCTAAATCGTATACGTCATGAAATCAGTGGTAAATATTATAGTATGTTGAAGGAAAAATAAAATTACCTGAATTTGTCAAGACATCATATGGCTGTAATCATCTAACACATAGATAATGATCTGGGTTTTTCACTCTTCAGTTCATCATTGACGTTAATAAACTCAGTCAAACTCTCAGTACACCTTGTGTCTATACTTACCCTCATGAAAGTGTATATGATAAATTAACATCCAAGAATTGTTATTATTCTGGTTCGATTAAAAAGGCAGTGTTTCAGTCATGAAATGAAAGACCACTTTTGTCCACCACTGACCTGGCCAACCAACACCATTATTAAGTGGCAATCCACTTACACGAACTGACGACGTTAGCTACTGTACCAGAGACTGACACCTAGTGGTAAACCACACCAGTTTGTTATAAGTGTTAGTTGAACAGTGTGAACCAGACAAGGTAAACACCAGTGAGAGGACGGTAGACGCACCTGGCCGTACAGTTCGTACTCAGCGGTGTGGGCCTTGAGGAAGTAGTCAGTGGCCCACTTGACGGCCGCACGACCGTAGTCCGTCTGACCTGTGTGACCACCAACCTCAGTAAGATCAATTTATTTAATTTATGAGAAAGTTAATCTTTTACCATTTTAATTTCTTTCCTTAATTTTACTAGGAAACGTTGAAGTTAGATACAATAATAAGTTTTACTCACCAGCTGCCTCGTATCCTTCAGCAAAGTCTATGAGTCCCCAGGCCAGTGCGGTGGCTGTAAAAGCCATCGGGAAGCCGAACTTGACGTGGTCACCAGCTGTTGAGGAGATATGATACTGAGTCAGTCTGGGTTCATCACTTGGAATATTTTTCATCTCTCTCTCTCTCTCTCTCTCTCTCTCTCTCTCTCTCTCTCTCTCTCTCTCACCGTCGTAGTAGCCGCCAGCAAGGTCATGACCCACATCAGCACCGTCGTCCATGGCAGAGTCCCACCTCCAGGGTTGGACGCGCTGGTCCTCTGGTAATTTCCCGGACCTCTGAGCCTCGTAGAACAAGATGCCCATACACAGTGCCTGTAGGTGAGGGAAACACTCATGCAGAACAATCATAGACGTGGTAGGTGAGGGAAGGATCCGAAATATTAGTTGACAAGAATCAACAAAACAGTAGAGGAATTGACCTGGGCGTAGTCGTACTTCCCCATGCCTGTGGCCTCACAAGGGTTGGTGTAGGGAGCGACGGTTGTCCACTGTAGCTGTCCATCTGTAGGTGACGAAGGTGAGTGATGAGGCGATGCAGGTAAACACAACTTGTGTGTGATAACTAATTGTATGTTTTTTTTTCTTCAGTACACTCTGCCTATTGTATGGATAATATTCTTTGTTACTCTCCCGTGGATGATTTAGAAGCAAAATACTGCCAGAGGAAACATTAAACACTGGGGCCTCACTCACCGCAGGCATCTTGTTCGTTCAACTCAACACCAACAACATCGGGCCTCGCACTGCCACTGAAAGTCACCTCAAATGTGAACTCCACGTAGCTGCCAGTCTCGTAGAATTCTGAGTTCAAGATTCTGAAGTGTGTGTCATCTATCTTCTCCACGTCGCCGTTCACGTACTGATTTAGAGATATCAAGAAACCATGTATAAAGACGCACATGTGCATAATGGTACTTATTGTTGTTGTTAATGAACGTTCATTTAAGATAATAATGTGTAATGAGCTTAGAGATGCAGTGTGAAAATATATATTTATAATGCAAAGACTTATTAGTAGTGTTTACTCACAGTCACTTCCTCCAGAGACTTGTCGAAGGTGATGATCACGTCCAGGCCATTTATGGGTAGTAATGTCTCCGAGGTGAAGTTGCCGCCGTAGGTTCCTTCCGCCTCCTTAATGATGGTGATGACTTCACACATCTCAGCCTCCACTACTGCAAAGTAAACATGACGACCTGAGTCACTACCTGGGTGTAAGAGGGTGAGGCTGACGACCTGAGTCAGTACCTGTGTGTAAGAGGGTGAGGCTGACGACCTAAGTCACTACCTGGGTGTAAGAGGGTGAGGCTGACGGCCTGAGTCAGTACCTGTGTGTAGGAGGGTGAGGCTGACGACCCCCAGCAGGACGTGGACGAGGACACTGGTCATGTCTGCGGTCTGAGACACACTGGTGACGGTAGGCAGCGTCTCCTCCACTTATATACCCGCCGGGTATATACCGCACAGTATGTGAGGCAGAGTACTTGAAATAAAACAGTTATAATTAGGTATGAAAGAGAGACGGTACCTGGACCAGGGCAAGTGTATTAGACTCATTATTATAGAGTATTGGACCAGGACAGATATTGAAAGTAAGACAAAGGGAGAGTAGATGAATCAGTTAAGATTCATTAGGAGAGAGTAAGGAACAGTACATGGACCACCAGGACAGGTAGCCTACAGTACATCAGTGAGGGAAGGTACATGGATGGAGACAGGTGTAGCGATTCACACTAGGTGTTATCTCTCACCACCAGGGGGCCTCACCTCCTCTAGCAACCCAACAGCCGCGTCCCCAACTATTATTATTATCTGTTGCTAAGGGAGAGTGAGCGTAAGTGAGGCGTCATTGGCTTATGGACTGTACCACCAAGGACAAGAGTGGGCTGCCTCTTTACACACACACACACACACACACGCGCGCGCACACACACACACACACACACACACGCGTGTGCTTCACGTTTTAGAAGGAAGACTCCAACCTCAATGATATATGAAGAAACACATGGCCACATAGATCCCGTACTCACATTACTAACGACAAGGACGTCAACATGTCTTCTTAATAATCTTGAATTTTTTTCACTAGATTCGATACATTTATGGGAGAACATAGCGGGGATGTCTTTTGTTTTATCCTGTTTAGGTTAAACAAAAGACCATCATCCTGACTCTAAGCTATCTTAAGAAACAGAAACAAGAACAAATGTATATAAAGATTCTACATAAATTACAAATCATTTTCTTGTTATCATATCAGTTGTTCTGAGTCGTGTGATTTCTCATCTTGCTCGAGGGTTATTTTAAACATCCACCAGTTGATGACGTTCACTGTGTTGTACTTCCCATTTCTTCACGACGTAAGTTAAGAAAGAAAAATGTTGTGTTTATATCCTTAAGTTGACGTTGGTTCATCAGATAGTGTGAGAATCTTGCTGCTGAGTGTGACAGTGATGCTACAACACTTCCCTATATAATGTTACGAGTTGGGGATTTAGAATATAGTTAAAAGTCTACCCAGATCCCAACAGGCAACAACAAAAAAAAACAAAGACAATCGGACTATAAAAGGGTAGACAAAGGATGCGAGTTTTTGTTGTGTATAATAAAGTACCATGAATTCCTTAACAAAATATTCAGCTTCCTATAAATTACCCTTAACCATACTTAACCTAAACATTAACAGTATATACATAGTTATACAACATACAACAATTCTAAAGCATGTGGACGTGGGGAGGCAATACAAGATTACAAATACTTAAGTGCGGAGCTGAGATGGCTGACGAGCAAGGCTGAGTATTGTAGAAGACGGTAGGTAGTCACTGTGCCGTAGGTTTCCAGGATAGGTGATCCTGTGGTCACTTCCCAGAGTGAACTGCTCTCTCCTCGAACTCGAGCTGACAAAGAAGACTTGGAGGAGGTGACGCAACAACCAGGATATGGAGAAGGGAAACCTCGGAGTGGTAACTAAGACGAGTCATACTCGTGTTTCGTCCCTAGATGGCGTTGCTCGTGGTGCTGGGTAGGTAGATCAGGACAATAGATGGCGGGGTTCGTAACAATAGATACAGACTAAAAACAGACAGACTCACAGACGGACAAACAGAAACAGAAAACGATAATTTATATTTCAGATTTATCAACAGAGCGGAAGGGAGTTAGAGAGAGAGAGAGACAAAGGGTAAACGATACAGAGAGAGTTAGAGAGAGAGAGAGAGACAAAGAGTAAACGATACAGAGAGAGTTAGAGAGAGAGAATACATTATTTAATTAGGCCTATATCAATTAGCCGGGAAAGAGTGAGTGTGAGAGAATAAAGTCCTTATTTACTTTTATCATGAAGGAAAAAAGAAAGAGAAAGTCTATCATAGTCTCTGACTTTCACCAGAGGAATATGTCTCCATGACATGAATATAGAAACAATGTCTTTGATCTGAGAGATAGAACAATAAGTGTGTTTAATTTATAGTCCATTCGAGTGCGTGGGTTAGTAGAAATACACAAACACTTTGCCTCAAACAACGGCCTTTGATGAAAATATTGTGTCAGATTATTTCCCCTGGCAAATATGACACGTGTTTGGAAAGGGAATAAGTCTTTGATCCGAATGGCTTAACAAAAAGTTACTACAATAAACACAGTGTACAGTGGAGGGATTAATAAAAATAAAAATGTATGTATGTTGCAATATAAACTTCATGTGGAAAAAAAGAAGAATTTTTGGTAGATTTACAATATAAATGGAAATAAATGTTGGGCTTGTCAGTGACGTCCAGTGTGTGTGTGTGTGTGTGTGTGTGTGTGTGTGTGTGTGATTATCTTAGGTCGTCTATTATTCCTAAGTAAAATTATTGGTGTTTCATTCATAAAACTTGGCATCATTGCAGTTTTCTCATAAACACAGGTAGTATAAAAGTCTCATTCATAAGACCTGGACACGTCAATTGCTCAAGTAAACAAACGGAAATTATCAACATTGCCAACACATCCATTCACTTAAAACTCTGAATTTATCTGCTGATGGATGAAGTTGTTCCGGGGCTCGTAAAAGTAATTTATGTGGCCGGATTACCGATGAAAAATGAGTCGCAGGGCTTAAGTAAAGGCTATGTGCACGAGAATGGAGGTCGTGTACGTTTGTGTGAGTTGTATAGTGGTGCACACACTGTGTTATTATGAGCAGGCGGGAAACAGGACAACGAGTCAAGGAAAGGGTTTTAAAATGAAAAAGATTCTTAAGACCAGAACACTAAGCAGAAAATGATAACGAGAAAGTGATCCTAGGAAGCATAACCAAGCAGGAAACGGGTTTAAAATTGTAAATAATCCTAGAGGCAAGACATCGAGATTAGAAGTTATTACACATATAATTAATTCGACTCGTAAGACAACTGTCATTAAGGCATTTATAAAAAGTGGAAAGTATCTTACTAAAGACAATGAAACAGCAAATGACATCAATATCTCATAGGACAACAAAACAGTAAAAAGAGAAAAAAAATATAATAAAAAGGACCCTAACTACTTTACCCTTCACTTACCCTCGTGTGTGTTGTACAATATTTAGACTGATGATGTAACCTGACCTCTCCTTCATGGACACCTGAAATATACTCCAGCTTAAACAAGGTACTCTACCTGAAATAACCATAAGAATGTTTTGTTAGGACTATCCTTGGTTGATTCGACTTACTTCCTATGTAAAGTGACTCTACTTGCACTGACTAAGTACTGTCTATTGTATACTTGCTGAATAAATACGATCTTGTATGAAGATCTTACTAGTTATGTATCTATCTGTCATTGGAGTCGCCTCTCCATCTCCTCACACAAGTTACTTTTGCCTACACCCACACCCTTTGTCCCGTCGGGAAATACTCCAGCCTTGAACTAAGCCTCATCGAACGACCGAATCGCCGATCAGAGAGTTCTTAAAATGAGTATTCTTCGCTCTGGCTGTGGTAAGTGATCCGCTAGATCCGATTGGAAAACTATTTCGGCACAGGAAACAGGACCTCAGAGCAGCACGGTACAGGGTCAGACAGCTCTTAGCAGTTGTCTCGTGGGAACTGTGTCTGTTTAGTCCCTTCAAGAATGGTGGTTTAGCTCTATAAGGAAGGAAAATAGTTTAATTATTCGAGGACAATAACTTAACCATCATCCTCAAAAGTTTAAACCTTCATCTTTAAAGGGCTAAGCCAGTGTGTTAAGCATCGTCTTCAAAAGGTAAAGCTGTTAATTGTACTGGTTTTTATATCATCGTCTTTAAGAAGTTAAACTATCGCCTTCAAGGGTTTGATCATAGCTTAAAAGAGCCATCCTTAGAGGGTTAAAGTATTATGCTAAAGGGATTAAAACGTTGTTCTAAAACGGTTAAACCATCGTTCTTTTTAAGTTTTAAGCCGTCATCTCTAAAATGGTTAAATCTCAGGTATATATTTATAAAAAATGTAACATATACTCCTGGCTCACATCACTTGAGGCAGCCTGCACAATAACACAGGACTCGACCCCGACACAATCCTTACCTTCAGGAGCCACTTTGAATTCGGTGTCTGCCAAATAAATTCGTCAACTATCTGTGTCAGGCGGAAGAGGAAAGTCTCGTGGAATTTCATGAGAAAGAGGTGTGTGTGTGTGCGTAAACTTTGAAGACTTTCACTTATGTCCTGAAGTTGTGGAATATACACCGTTAATGAACTATTGATGGAAGAAGAAGTTTTGGGAACTGAACAGTGAGGGTGGCATCCTACCGTTGCCTCGCGGATGAGCCACGATTCTGCTAGTGGTACATATAACATAGTACGGTATCGCCTCTGAACTGAATAAAATCATCTGTCGTTAACCAAATAAAATATTAAAAATGACGACCCTGTAATGAAGATGTTAATGTTGTGGAAAAATGTATTATGAAATATTTCAACTCTGAAGACGAATCCGTTTTTAATTTTGTTTATTGTAGTTTATCTTGTGTTGTCTGTGTGTTGAGGACAATGTGTAGAAAATTGATCTGTAAATTTGTATGGCTTACACATGAGTAGGGTAGAGAAACAAGACACATATTTTATTATATTTTATTTATGTTTTTTACATATATAGACCTCACCCTCACCGCTCCTCTGTGATGATGAGCTTGGTTTGAGGCAATTTTTTAGCCTTAAGCACCTGTGAGTATGACATCACAGGCCCATTTTCGGGTTTGGTTTGGGGTCCTTTTACGGCCTCAACCACCTGAGGCTTCTGTTGTGGTGTAGTTATGGGAGCGGGGTTTTCTGACACCGAACAGCGATTTCCACGTTTCCGGGGAATCCTCTGGGGCTTTGGTGCGAGTTGGGGTCCTTTTATGGCCTCAACCACCTTAGGCTTCTCTTGTGTTGTGGTTTGAGGCTGTACTTTATCCTTAAGCACCTGTGAGTATGACATCACAGGACCATTTTCGGGTTTGGTTTGGGGTCCTTTCACGGCCTGAACCACCTTAGGCTTCTCTTGTGG